GATTGCATTGAAACTGTAAGTTGCTTTTGGTAAGATTGCCATTTTTACTATGTTAAGCTAATTCTTATCTATGTGTAGCTTCTTTTCCTTTCATAAAAATGCATCTTCACTGAAATACTTTCATCTGGAGAATGGTCATGGCCAGATGTAAGCTAATAAAGAATAAACACAGCTTGGAAAATTGATCCAATTATCCCAAATTTATAGAGGAAGTTGTGCTCATAAGATTGAAATGCAATCATGAGATTACATGTATACATGACATGGGAATTCATGGTAAAGGGGAGAATCGTAGTTGTTATTGCATAAGAACTTTACAACAAGAAATAGCCAATTCATTCAAAAGGCAGTAATTCCAAAATGCTTTGCATGATGGGTTCCTCTAACAGAACCCTTAGTTCTGATAGGTTGACCTTCTGAACTGTAGTTGTCACCTGTTGTATACTCTCATGGTCTTTTGCTCCCAGCAACTCTCAATATCTCTGCATCCTTCTTGTGGATTTAGATGTGAGTTCTGAGCTGTTCCTGCTGTCATGTTTTGCAGGCAATCATTAACTCTAGCCATCTGAAATTATAAGACAAATTCAACATGTTCCATTATAAGTTAGTTGCCTTGGTCATTGTGTTTCCTCATAGCAATATGAAAGTAACTAGGACACCAGGGTTCCACATGAGATCAGGGCTCTGAATGTGGGTCAAAAGCAGTCCTTTCAGAAGTGAATACAGGAAGGTGAGATGCATGGAGACAGAGTTATAGTTTCCTGTTGCACAGTTGATCAGGTAGTAATGCCTTATGGGCTCAGAATCTTACTGGATTTATTTCTATCTCAGTGAAACGTGTCTTATACAAAGCAAACACAAGGAATTTGCAGGATAGGGGTAGTGACCATTTGTTGGTTTGTTTTGGCTTTTCTGAGACAGTCTTGATGTTGCTAGGTCAGTCTTCTCTAGAACTTGCTAGAAATCCAGGGTTTTCCTTCAAGTTATAACCTTCTGCCTCAGAGTGCCAGTGTAGGAATTAAGAGAAGTTTTAGAAAGCTTAGCATTGTATTTTGCATATACATACATAAATGAATAAAATCTTTCATATATTCATATATGATTATAAAAAGAAGGGAAGAGATAGTAGAATTGTATAATGTGAAAGTAGACAGTGAGAATACTAGTTTAACTTTAAGTATGGTTATACCAAAGGATAGTGGAGAGGAGAGGTTGTTAAGCAACCAAAAGTAAGAGTGTAGGGCCCAAACTGAATGGAAACACACTATTTTCTAATTCTATTTTAAAGCAGAGTTAATAAAGCACACTGCATGGGGTATCATTCTCCCTGGCAGGCCACAAATTATTAAACCAAGGTCCTAGTTTCATGTATAGGAATCTCCATTAATAAGAGAGGCCCCTAAACCATGAAACAATACAGGCCATTGTCAGTATTCTTCCTTGCCCATGAGAACTAGGTTGTAATTCCTTTTGCTAAAGACACCATTCATTGTGGCTGTAGAACAGAGAGAAATGATGATGGAATTCAGTTGAATGTCTCCTGCTGGCTTTCTAGCTTTCACAGTTCTAGAAGGTGCTCTACAAAATCCTGTTGGGGAAATTTTATCAAAGTTTTGCTAAGCTATGGTCTTCATAACATATAATAATTGCCATTGGATTGATAGGATGCTAATTGGTATAATATTCCCTATCATAGGCCTAACCCAACCATAGAGCTTTCTGGTTACATCTGTGACCCTATCGCTGGCAGAAAACTAGTGTCTGGTATTTCAAAGACAGTCAACAGTCAATGGTTGAAAAAGTCATACACTTTGTGAGGTAACTTACAACTGTTGTTTTGTTGAATAAGCATGGTGTCAAATTGGCTTCTACATAGTTATACTTGTAGATTCGTGAGGCTGTCAGTCTTCATCATAGAAACTCCTTTTTGTAGTGGGTGGTATTTAATGTCTATGCTCACAGATTTTCAAAGTGCTAAAGATAACTGTGGAATGCTAACACTTATCCTTAACAGGTTTATTATCCCCGTCAGGCTGAAGGGATTTCAGACATAGGATATAGGAAGAATGTAAGAACCAGGGGATAGAAAAGAGTCCAGTGAAACAGTGGATTCTGGACATGATCATTGTATTCTTGAACTCATTGCTGTGGTTACCTGTGTATGATTGCAAGAAGATGGACACAATACCTTTTCATCTTGCAAGCAAGAGGGGATGATGAGTGTTCACTACTTATGAACTGCTACTAGCAGTTAAAGGCTATTAAAGAAGGGTATGCCATTCTCTTCTGCCCTGTAGCCACTGATAAACTGCTATGTTCCAGTAAATAAGTCCCAACTCATGTTCATGCAAGCAAAGCAAATTAACTCTCTGAATCAAAACAAAAACAGTGTTCAAGCTGAGGAAGACTTTAGTTTCTAGGAGTTCAAATATGAAAAGGAAGACAATTGGGCATACAAAGATAAAATAATTATTATTTGTATTTTTAAATTTCAAAAAAATGAAATAAAACAAAATACAAAAGAATAAACAGCATAGACAGTATATAGGACACAATGAAATGAATGCATGCTTATATTATGGGGTTTCTAATAAGAGGAGAGAAAGATGAACATACAAAAACCATACTTATTGAAGTCATACCTGAACATCCAGGCCCTCAAAACTCAAAGACTTTCATTGCAAGATACCTGATCAAATGATCAAATCCAGAAAGAAAAAGTATACATGGGGGTGCTAAGTTACATTTAAGGGAATCCTATTATATGGACACTAATTTCTTTTTGCTCATCATAACACTTTTATTAATTACTGAGGACTTTCATACCACACACACATTTGCAAATCAAACAAGGAGAGAATTGGGATATATAGCCAAAGTTCTACCAAGCACAGCAATATTTCCCTTCCAAAAAGAAATTACAATTACCAGAAACTTCAGAAGGGAGGAAACATAGTCGTTCTCTGAAAACTGAAGAAAAGGAATTTAACCTGAAAATAAGTTTGCACCAAATTCACACAAATAAAGGAGAAAAATGGTAAAATTGTATCAATACATAAAAACAACAAACGATAAACAATTAGGACAAATGGAAGGAAAATATTCAGAACAACTAGAAAATTCTAGCATGTACATAATCCTACCTATTGATAACTGTGCATTTAATTGAAATAAAACATGCAGTCAAAATAGAACTGTAGCTGGAGAGCTTTTCTCTCTGGGTCCCACCAAGTCCCGCCAGTCGTGGAGCCCACACAGATGCTTACATTATTTAAGCATTGGCCATTAGTTCAGGCCTATCATTGTCTAGCTCTTACTCTTATATTTAGCCCATTTCTAATAATCTATACTTTGTCACGTGGGTCGTGACTTACTGGTACCTTACATCTTGCTTGTCCTGGTGGCAGCTCCAGGCAGTCTCTCCCTCTGCCTTCCTGTTCCCTCAATTCTCCTCTCTGTTAGTCTCGCCTATACTTCCTGACTGGCTACTGGCCAATCAGTGTTTATTTATACAGAACATAGAACAGCTAAATTGAGATAAGAAGAACCATTTGCTTGTCAGAAAAGAAACACTTCATGAGTTAAGATAGTCTGAAATTTAAGGAGTTGATGAATATGCCTTACAATAATAGTAAACAAAAAAGTGAAGAATATATAATATCTATACTAACAAAAGGAAATTTAAGTCAAAAGCACAAAATGTTACAAATAAATTAACTAAGTGCTTAATGAGACAGTTTAACAAAGGAATAAATCTTCATTTTCTGTCTTTACTGGATAATTTTGAGCAACAAATGCCGACAAGGAACGTTGGATCAGAATGGGTTTTCACTGAGCCTTATCCCCATCATTCCTGGTTGCTGAGAAGGTTCCCATTTGTGATTCTCCTGAGGCAGATGCAATATCTTTGTTATTGTAGCTGTTGAGGCCAGAAATGGATGACCAGTGAGGTATAGACAAGGCACTCATGCTCCAATGCCCTCAACTGAAACCCTTAATCAGAAGTTCCTCATCATCTCTTTTTCTCACAGATTAATTACTTATTTGGCAGCTGGGTTACCCCAAGAAAGGATGTTTTTGTTAGGGTCTGCATCACTGTGGGAGGAACATGTGTAGCTTGCACGCAGTAATAAACTCCTAAATCCTCTGGCTCCACTCTGCTGATCTTGAGTGTGAAATCTGTGCTTGACCCACTGCCACTGAACCTGTCTGGGACCCCAGATAATCGAGTGGAAATTCTATAGATGAGGAGCTGTGGGGACTGGCCTGGCTTCTGCAGGAGCCAATTCAAATAGATCTTTCCATCACTATGTACAAGGCTCTGACTAGATCTGCAAGAGATAGAGGCTTGATCTCCAAGACTGACAGGCAGGGCCAGTGGAGTTTGGGTCATCACAACATCACCCCTGGAAGCTGAAATAATGAGAGAAAAGTACAAAGTTGTCAAAAAACTTCATAAACAATCTCTGTGGTTTCTCTTTTGATATTTATTTCAGGTCTTATATTTCTTTTTACACACAATTCTTTATACACTAAAATTCCCTTTATAACAAAACAAGTGAACTGAAAACAGTTTTCTAGGAATAAATTTTACCATCCCACACCATCTGTGTCATAATAGTTACTATAGCACAGGTTTTGTCCCTTCAGTACCTCACTGTCACAGATGTAAACCTCAAAGACCCCATCCTGGAAAATAAGACCTGTCCTTTAATACATGGATAGAATACATGTGATGATTAGTGGAACCAAAGGCTTATCCTCTCTTCCCATCTTCCGTACTCACTTCCCCCTGACCTTACCAGGAATCAAGAACAACAGCAGCAACAACATCAGAATAGTCAACTTCATTTTGAAAGGAAATTTAGGAGACTGATTAATCACTGCAAGGTGACAGCTCAGCTTTTATCTCAGGCTAGCAAGGGTGTGTCCTCCCTAGGGAGCAATATGCAAAGGCCAGGGTTAGTGGTCTAATATAGATAGAGGGAAGAGTCATATATGCTTCTAGTGACTGCAAAATTCACATAAAATATCTTCCATGTCAAAATATTTTTGACAAAATGTGATGGTTGATAGGAAAAGAACATGCTAAAAACTATCAATCTGGGCAGCACCAGAATTCAATAAGTCCCTCATTAAAGAAACACTGGAAGGAGTGAAGATAAAGACATGTGTATTCAATCATTCTCTATGAGTTGAATAACTATGCTTTTGCTCCTCTTTCATCAAATTTACAGGAAATATGTTGTCATTTAAGAATATTTAATCTAGAAGTTAGGAGATTTCTTTCCTGTGGTCCACTGAATTTATCTCCACAGAAACACAAATTAAAAAAAAATACTAGGAAGCTATACCTTAAGTATTTAGCATGAAAATGTAATGGTGATAGATATTAAAAATAATCATCATAGGAAATATGTTTGGGGGGAACTTTGAAGTGAGGGATGGGTCTCTGGTGTTTGTAAGTAATGGTATTTCACAGGTAAATTTTGATGCGCTTCTTTTGTATGCAATATATATATATTGCATTTATATATATAATTATATATATATAATTTTATGCAGCAATTATACTTCAGTGTGGTGATATTTTTATACTTATTTATTTATCATGTGTTTGTGCAGGCATGTGTATTGGATAGCACACACATGAAGGGCAGAAGATAGCTCATGGGTGTGGTGATATATTGTGTCTCCCAATATTTTTTTGCACCCTAATAAAGCTTATATGAGGATCAGAGGAAAAAGTCAGCCACTATATTAAACATAGAAGTCAGACAATGGTAGCACATGCCTTTATTCCTAGCATTTGGGAGGCATTGATCCATCTAGATTTCTGTGAGTTCAATGCCTCACTGGGAACAGGCATGGTGACATACACCTTTACTCCTAGCACTAGTCATAGAGGTCTGCAGGTCTGTACAAACAGACAGGAAGTGATATAGCTGGGCAGAGAAAGGAAGTGAGATGCATAACAGACAGGCATATAGGTGTGGGTATACAGGAAGCAGGTCTCTTTGGCTGAGGGTTTCCAAGTGGTAAGAACATGGCTGGCTTCCGTCTGCTTTTCTCACCTCTCAGTTTTTACCCCAGTATCTGGCTCAAGGTTTTTATTAATAAGACCATTTAGAAATTCATCTTACAAAAAAAAAAAAAAAAGAAATTCATCTTACATTGTCCTACATCCTTATGTACCACATATAATGAATATACATGGTGAAATTTCAAACATTAATGGAATTAATAAAAATCTCACAGACTAGAATGGCAAGAGTTTATGTTGTATCTACTGCTTTCATAAAGATCTGCAATACAACACATTTTTAACTTTGAAAAGTTCTTTCTGCTTGTAACTGAATCTATGTGCTCTTTGATACAGGTCATTATGGGGTTGACTTTGAGAGCAAAGGAGCCTTTCTCAGTTCTTTGTGAGCTCAGATAGGACAAGGTTAGGGTACAGGAGAACCTGATGGTCACCCAAGTTGTCTGATCTAGAAGTGTTCAAATTCTTGTCTCATAGATTCAAAGAATTAAATTCATGGGCCACAGTGGGAATTTTAGCTGAATACTCAGACACAGCCATCATATAGAAATGCATCCATTTTCTCTTTATCATATTTGTTCTCACTAAGGTAAGAGATTGTGGTTTTGGTTTTCTTTCTCTCTGATTATTAGTACTGTTGATCACTTTTTCCTATAGCTATTGGCCATTTGTAAAAAAATAAAATAAAAAGATATATCAAGTACTCTCAACAAATCTCACATCAAATAATGAAACTGAAACTATTTTTTTCATTTGAATTTTATGTTTGATTTTTCATAACTAGCTATGTAACCTTTGGAAATTATAAAGTAGGATAAAATGAGGTCACAGACTTTCTAAGGTTCCTGTCTAATACAGAGCATGATTAATTCTGTTAAAGGCCCAAGGACATTCTTGTGAGCAGTGTTCTCCGCTTGTCTGAGATATAGCAATGACTTTCTCAGTGAAATAATTTGGACATAGCAATCCAGTATACAGTGATAAAGACAGAATTCTCTGGCTGATAAAAAAATTGTCACTGAGATCAATAATATAATGTAAAGACAACCCAGAAATGGAATAATACAAATATGGCTGACTGGCCTTTGGCAAAAGAGAAAAAATTCAGAGGAAGAAGTAAATTAATGAACAAATGATTGGGAACAGTAGTTCATATGTTGAAGTACTGAAAAGACTCTAAATAGAAGTCCTAGCAAAATTTACCTCTTATTGATCAATAAACTTATAAAACTGCTAGAATAAAAGAGAATATGGTAGTTTTAGGGATTACAGAAAAAGTATGACTTGTGAAAAAGAAGAAAAGTTTGAATGTACTAGAAGTTTTAAAATGCAC